CGGTGTGCTCATTTCTGCAATCAATGCCCAAAGTATAAGTCCATTCTTCATCCCAGCTATGCGTGCTCCATCCTTCTAACACTCAGAATTTTCTTTTCCTGACATAGTTCTCTAGTTCTCCCTCATCTCTCAAACCATTTCACTGTGTAACATCTGGAATTGATGTAAGCAATTGGCAAACTTTGTAATATCTTTACCCATGGCCGTGAGTTTTTGTTCCATTTCTTGGACTTTCCTTAAATCTGGCTCCTTACTTAGGTCATTTTCTCTGCTGCCCAGAAAGGGTGACTATTTTCTTGGATTGTTTCTTGAGACCAGGAGTAGAATTGATGTTCTCTTTACCTCTTCTTACTACAATAACTTTCTTTTCCTTCCATATTGGAGTTCCACTCTATTTAACAAAACCTCCTCTCTCCCACCTTACTCCTGTTATTTACCGGCCTTCCAATCAGTTCTGTAGATCAGGGAGGGGTCCCCCCCAGGCTGCGGACCTGTACAGGCCGCACAGCAAGAGGTGAGCAGCAAGCAAGTGAGCAAAGCTTCATCTGTATTTGCAGCTGCTCCCCAGAGCTAGCACCACCACTTCAGCTCTACCTCAGATTAGATTCTCATAGGAACACCAATCCCTTGTACCAAAAAGGTTGGGGACTGTGGCTGTAGCTGACTGAAGACTTTGGCATCTGGCTCAAAGTCTTCCTTTCAAACCCAAGTCCTGCCATCACCCCGGGGCCTTCAGGATTGACATTGGTAACTCATCCACTATCCTAGCCCCTCAATTCTTGACCTTTAAACTTTCAATGGACTTTTCTTCCCATGCACTTCATCCAATTACTCCTGCAGTTATGCTTCAGACTTTGTTATTGCTCCATATTCATTATCATTAATTTAAGAATCTCAGTCTATAACCACAAAATCACTGTCATGCCCATTGCTTGTTTTTTCAAATATTCCCACAATAGCCCTTTGTATTGGTCAGCATTCTTATCTGACAATAAATTCATTCCAGCAAGTTTTGGCAGGAAGGGCTTTTTTCAAGGGGCATTATAAAGCTCACAGAACTGTTGGAAAGTTCTTTTTAGTCAAAAATGGTAATAGAGTGTCAGATTTTATTTAAACCTTTCTCGATTGGATTCTTCTCAGTCTGAATATGATTAAGTCTTTTAATTAAAAAAAAAATAATACTCCTTTTTGATATTATGTCCCTCTCCAGCTATCACCCATCTCTCTCCTTTACTTCACACCCATTCAGTCTAACTTCTGTCTCATTATTCTACTAAATTTGCTATTGCCAATATATCAAATTACCAGCCTGTTGCTAAATATAGCAGATACTTGTAGGTCTTCATCATGCTGTACCCCTCAAATGTATTGAATACAGTGACTATGTCTTTCTTTTTGAAACATTTGCTTCTTTTGGCTTTTGTAACTTGGTTTTCCTTTTGCCATCCTAGATGCTACCCCCACCTTCCTTTCTTTCGCAGGCTCATCCTTTTTTTAGCCGCTGAATATTTACTTTATCATGCCATATACTTTCCTTAGAAAATTTCCTCCACATACAGATTCAATCATCACCTCTTATATATCATAACTCAAGCTAAATTCTATACTTTGAGCTCCAGACTTGTGCATTCAACTGGTGCCTTGACAGTTCCTCCTGGTTTTCTGAAGGCTATCTCACAATGAACCAGCCCAGCAACAGACTTTCCCGCCCTTCCTAGGAAACATGGTTTTCTAGTGTTGCCTCATTTGGTGAATAACATCTTACTTTATCCATTTTCTCAAGTCAGAACAGAAAAGTCATCTTAGCGACCAGACTTTGGACCTGTCGATTTTACCACCTAAGTCATTCTCGCACTCATCTGTTTCTTTCTAACTACTACCATAGACAGAGCAACCATCTCTCTCATCTTTACCTCTAGAATAGCTTCCAATTTGTATATGGATATCTTCTCCTACTCCCCCTCTAACTCTTTTACACATGGTAGGTGAAATGATCGTTACAAACAACAATTCTAATCATAGTCATTGCCTCTGTTTTAACATTCCAAAGGCTTCCACTGCACTTAGAATAAAGGCTGCACACTTTCATGAGCATTTGCACTCCCTGGAGGCCTCAGGCCATGGGCTTCGTCTCAGACCAGGCACCCTTCACTTTCTTAGCTGGTTTTCTCATTTGCCATATTCCCTTCCAGCCTTAGGTCCCTTGCATCTTTACTCGTTTTTCCTAGAATGCTCTTTGTTCTCCTTTTTGCCTAGTTATTTCTTACCCATCCTTCATATTTTAAACCAAAAACTCCTTCCTGATATTGATAAGTACCTGTGCTTATCTCCTTGATCAGGACAAATTCTTATAGATGTTCCCAGTTCTTTGTTCTTCTTTTGATGGTACCTGTCATGGTTATTATTTCACGTGTTTGTTTGTTTTTTTTTGTAATTTCATTAGGTCAAGTATTAATATTACATACTATCATGCTCAGTACAGTGCTAATAAACAGGTGTTTAGTAAATATGTGTTGAAATACAGGCAAAAGGGACATAATGTAAAAAATAATTAAAGGGGTCATGTTGAGAGGCCTAAACAGAACCATTGAAATGTAATGCAGGAATAGCCCATCTTTAGTTATAAGGAGACAGATAAATTGAAGGTAGAACTCAAAGAGCTGGATTTAGTAAATCAAAACATACTTTCACATCACTGATACCTTATTTTGAAATGGCTAATTACAATTGCTAAAAAAAGATTGGTGTGGATGTGGATGTAGGTGGAGTGATGTAGTCCATTTGAAGTGTTAATTCTTGACTTATCCTGAAAATAAAAGTTTTCTTTATGCTTTCTTTTCTCTTATAGAATGGCAAAATTGTTGCAAAGATTAATGGTGCAAATGCACCACTCGTTAATAAAAAAATTGTTGACTTGGTCAATGAGGAGAGGAAAATTGCCGCAGGTGAAATGGTTCGCCCTCAGGTAGTATTTTGGATTACTATTTTATTTTTTTAAAATGTATTACATCTTTTTTGTTGTTTTTATAAAGCATTTTTTTTAATAATATAACTATCTAGGTATCTAAATGATGCAAAGTTAAAATAAATAAATAAATAAATAAATAAATAAAT